TTATTTATATATTCACAGTGGCTGGTGGGTGTGGAATGGTAAAGAGAGATATACAGAGGACCTCTCTGAAGAAAATTACTTGTACTTCAAATTTAACATTCTGAATAGTTTGCTTTTATACACGATGAAATATAATTGACATAATAAACTGGATATATTGAAGATGTACACTTTTTTGTACATTTCAAGGAGATTTTAAAAATAAGAAAAAGCTAGTTTTTCTATTTACTTATATGTTTTACTATTTCTATTACTTTTTATTTCTTTGTATAGACACAGATTTTTAACAACATATAATTTTCCCTCTGCATGAAACCATTTCTATAACACTTATGGTCTGTTAAGGACACATTCATCACCAGAAGATTCAGCTTTGCATATTTGAAAAGATCTTTATGATCCAAGAGTTGTGCTCTTGGATCAACTGATAAGAAAATTTATGTCTAGACAAACACCTGATATGAAAACTGTCAATTAGTACAGAAAAAGAAAAAAAAAGAAAATGCATATTAATGTTTATAGCAGCTGCACATAAAAATATGTGTGGATATGTGTATATTTAGTTGAGAATACACACATATATTTCCTTGTGTCAGCTGAAAGGGCCTGTGAGCAATGACACTCCAGTAGCAACAAGCACATCTAATGCTCAGACCTTGGTTTGTAATACCATTCTTTAATAAAAGGAACCAGGCTTCCTAGTGGAAATGGCTGATTCCAGGAGTGGGGGAAGAAATATGTTAATACAAGATGAGCTCATAAGCCTGGAGCATCTCACTATACTAGAAAGTGAGAAAATGTTAAAAAAGAAAAAGAAAGAAAGAACCAAAATCTACAATGATGGGAGTATGTCAAAGTAACACAGGAGTGAACTGAATGGGCTCTCAATGGCTAAAGCTGGAATAATTTTATCAGAAAGAAATAGATAAATAAAATAGTATTTCATTATAACTCAAAGTATAAAATTAATATCCATGGGTCTACATTGATATAATACTGATAGAATACCTAAATATTCTTCTGTACAGTAGTATGCATTAGTACAAAATAATTTCAAATAATCCTCCTATACAGAAGAATTGCAAATAATTTACATCAATACTCTGTCCTCAATGAGGTGGAGCATAACTCCCTGCTTTTAAGTGTGAGCTGAGCATAGTAAATTCCTTCCTAGGAGTACAGCACAGAGAGGGGAGGAAGAGGAGTAACTTCATAATAATGAAACCTGACAAACACTACCTTAGCTGGGTGACCAAGGTAAATATAAGTGGTTTTAAGTTATGTTAAGAATATGTACCCATTGATATAATGTGATGAATATGGCACTTTATCTCTGAAATTTACATTCTAAGAACACAGAACCTCAGTCTACACATGTGAAAAACATCAAACAAACTCACTTGGCAGACATGCTATACAAATACCTGACCAGTACTCCTCAAAACTGGCAAGGTCAAAACTTGATTTAATGATTTCACAGTATATGTGTGTGTGTGTGTATCAAACACTACATTGTACACCACAAATATACACAATTTTTAATTTGTCAATTTAAAAAAGTTTAAATTTAAAAAATTCTCAAGGTAATAAAAAAAAAAGTTTGAGAAACTATCACAACCAGCATAGAGAAAGATATTAGGTAAAAACTAAGACATTCTGAATAAAATATGAATTTTATTTATAATAATATATTAATGATTTGTTGGTATGAGTATAGGTAGGCAAAACAAAATGAATTGAGTTGGGTTTAAACTAAATAGAGAGAATTTTTTTTTCATTTCTGGGGATTACAAATAGATTCTGACACTATAGGAAAAATTTCACATTCTATAGACATAATCTTCAATAGAATCCTACTTCCATCTTGAAAGATTCATAGTCAATGTTCACTGAAAAGGAAAATTTTCTGAAACTTGACCAACATAGGCTAGTATGAAAAGGGTGAATACTTTCAATTCCTACATCAGAAGAAAATGAAATACTGAAAAATTTATTTGTAAGCTATGACCATCTTAACTTTTTTTGTTTTTTGAGTCAGAGTCTTGCTCTGTTGCCTGGGCTAGAGTGCTGTGGCATCAGCCTAGCTCACAGCAATTTCTAACCCCTGGGCTCAAGCAATCCTCCTTCCTCAGCCTCCCAAGTAGCTGGGACTACAGGCATGCGCCACCATGCCTGGCTAATTTTTTCTATATATTTTTGGTTGTCCAGCTAATTTCTTTCTATTTTTAGTAGAGACGGGGGTCTCACTCTTGCTCAGGCTGGTCTTGAACTCCTGATCTTGAGTGATCCTCCCACCTCGGCCTCCCAGAGTGCTAGGTTTACACGCCCGGCCCATCTTAACTTTATATTTCCCCAATACTAAATTTCTTTAACTTTGCTATACTCAAACCACAAAAAAGGCAAAATATGTTACACATCAAGATGTTCCTTTGTGGAAGGTCTTCATTAAAAAGTGACTTACCAACATATATGCTTACAAAGCTCCCCTTCTTTCAGAAATGTGGAACAGTTACAAACATGAGGATTTCCTAGAAAAACCTTTAAAAGAAAAATGCATACTTTAAAAAAAGTCAGTTAATTTTTAGAGTAAAACTAAGCCCACATATAACTGGATTAAAAGAGATTTGAAGAGGTAATTTAGGTGATTACAAAAGGTTAAATAAAGTCTATTAGGAAATCTTAACTCTTGATACCAGTCTCTAGGCTGATTTTTCACTTCCTTATTCTTTGCCTTGGTTAGCAACTTGCACTGTCAATTAAGATGGTTTTTAAGTGACCTGTACTCAGGCACGTGAAAACAGCTACTTTTAAAATCTAAAACAAACAAAAAACCAAACTATAAATTTCTTACTGTAAGGAAATTCTACCCTGGTATGGAACTAAACGCCTTTTGTAAGGGAGCTCATTTTGGATTTTTGGTTTTTTCTGTATTTGAATTGGTGAATTTACCTTATTAAATTTAATTTTATGTAAGAGAACAAATTTTATTCACCAAGACTATATTAGCTAAAACAACTTACTAAATACAGTAAGTGTTGTAAGTAACAAAGTAAAAAAAGGGTGTTTTAAATAAGCACAGACTAGTAAATTGTATTCAGTTCTTAAAATGCATGGCACTAAATTAAAATTTTTTTTTCATTTCATATATATTTTATTTATATTATGTCAACATTTGAATGAGTTTAAAGCTCTAAAAACAACTCGCATTATTTTATTAATATTTACCACTAGAGGGCTAAATTAAAATTTTCTAAATCAATTCCTGGGAGGTAGTCCGGTGGCTGATCTTTGAGTGGTGAGGATGGGATATGCAAATAGGAAATATCTGTTGTCTTTCAGCAAAATTAAAAAGAATTTTTGTTCCTTAAGACCTTTCCAAGATACTGCCATTTAAACCATCCTATTCAAGGGTCTCAAAATAGCTTCCGCGTGAATAAAGAGTATAGGGAAACCAATTTTATTTAGTCAGCTAATATTTACAGCGTGTAAGTAGACTGTATTAATAGTATTTTAATTTCGTTTGATTTACAGGACTAGTGACCGCTAACAACAGATACAAGAATGCACGTAATGCAAACCAATTATTTATATCAAGCCTCTAACATTTTCAAGCCTAAAGATCAACAACTATCCTCTTAAAAGAGTTGGATGTAATTTGAGGTCCTAAGCTCCAAAAAGAAACTTTTCTAATAAATACTAATTCCTTCTGCAATTTGCACGTCTTTAGCGTCTGGAACACTCACGGGGAAACGCCTTTGGGGTGGGGCAGCGAGTAGCTGCAGGGACCGTCAGGGTGGCTAAACATACTGGGTGGGCTTGGGGGGACCCGACGGGTAGGCGGGGCCAGGGGCGGAGGCGAATTGGGGGCAGTAGTTACTCTGCAATCCCTGTTTTCCGGCTCCTCCTCCCTCAGCAGGAAGCCGGTAGGGCCCATCTCTCGCAGGAGGTAGATGCTGCTGCTCAGCGCCTGGTCTTGTTGCCAGCTGAGGCTCTCGCTCAAGTGTCTTCGCCTTTCAGAGGCCTTATGGCCTCGGCGAAGCATCCTAGCTGGGTGCGGCAGACGCGGCGGGTCAGCTAGCCTCTCCTAGGCGCCTGCCAGTCTCCACGACAACGGCGTGCGGGCTAGTTGCCTTGGTGACGGTGTTTGGGCCCCGCGGTGTCCCGGCGTGCCTTGCGCCGAGCGAGAGCGGGCCAGGAAGGCGCAGGAGGATGTGGATTCCGCAGCTCGCACCAGCCTCCACACCCTTCTGAAGCGACGCTCCCGACGGGGGGAGTGTTTCTGGTAGTCAGCCGGTGGATTTGAAAGCTGGCTGCCGAAGGCCGATAGCTGGCAAATCTCTTGCATTCCTTCTGATTTTTCGCAGGCAGGGATGGTGAAATCTGCATTAGGACAGTGGCAAACCTGGTTACATTTGGGCTCTGGAATCTAGTTATCCTGTGGTGACTCATCGTCTTTATCAGAAGCCCAGAATGATTGCTGACGTTCAACAATATTCCACAGATAATTCCCTATTGTTCACGATGTGCATAGACTGAGCAAGTTGCTGGGGGAAGATGTAGAAGACAGAGGTCTAACCCCTAGGAAGCTAGACATTAAGTCAGGGGGTACATTTTTCTCTCTCTCTCTCTCTCCTCTCTCTCGTCTTAATTGCATGCTTGAATAGGGGTGAGCATTGGCGGTGGTGGCACAGAATCCACGGCCTTTGTGTATATGGGCTCTAAATTTACAAATCTGTGTTGTAAAAGAAAAGATTTTCAAGGTGTGAAATGTTCATACCTTCAATAATTCAAATTGTCCCCAAGATTTGTTATCAATTTCTAGGGGAAGAGCTGTAATAAAGTATGAGTCAACATTTTAAGCCATAATTATTGAAAAAGAAGCCATATTACTGGAATCTCTCTAAGAAATTGAAAGCAGGAGATAGCACCACTCAGGGGCCCAGTAGCCTTGGCCTCGGTGGCCAAGGATAGCGGTTATTTGTCCTATTTTATCATGGGAGGAAGCTACAACTAGATATGTCAAAATGACAAGGGCCACAATATGGAAGAAGATGATGATGGTAATGGCAATTTTCACATGTGAGATATCTGGATAAACACCATCCAACCCTAGGTCTAAGGTTTTAACTTACTAAATTTTATTTCTACTCTCCTATTCTAACAACAACTGACACACATGCTACCATATCTCCAACTGTAGCATCAATTTAATGGTGATAGATGTTAAACTAAAACATTATGTATTAGGAAAAAACCCTTCATATTGAGAACAAAAGAAACTATAAATTGAATTAATTTATGTTTTTTTTTCTTTTTTATTATTCCAGGGTTTTGTGAGGGTACAAACATTATAGTTACACTTTATG